ACATGCCCAGTTTTTTAGTCTTTCCCCTGAGGTTGGGTTTTCTAAAACTTTCACCACTCAGGCTTCTCTCCAAAGGGTCCACATCTTTCCTAAAGGTGGCCCCCAGAACCGGACACAGTTCTCCAGATGACACCTCACCAGTGCTGAGGAGAGTGGCACAATTTCTCCCGTTAATATTCCCCAGAATGAGGCTAGCCTCTCTCACATATTCGATTTGCAATCTACTACCACCCCCCAGAACCTCTGCGGCAGCTCTGCCATCTAGCCCATTATTCCCCATTTTGTTCTTGGGCATTTGCTTTTTCCTTCCTACGCTCACTACTCTGCACTTCATCTTGTTGAGTTTTGACCAACTCTACAATTTGTCAAGGTCATTTTAAATCCTAATCCTGTCACCCACGATGCTCACAACCCCTCCCACCTTGGCATCGCCCATAAACTTTGAAGACTCACAGAATCATAGAACACTAGAATTGGAAGGAACCACGAGAGACCATCAAGTCCACATCCCTGCCCTCGTGGCAGGACCAAGCACCCTCATGGCAGATCATCCCTGATTGATAGATGTCTATCTAACCTGCTCTTAGATATCTCCAGTGATGGAGATTCCACAACCTCCCTAGGCAACTTATTCCAGTGTTTCCCCCCCCGACAGGTAGGAAGTTTTTCTTAATGTCCAACCTAAGCTTGTGCTGCAATTTAAGCCCATTGCTTCTTGTCCTATCAGAAGTTAAGGAGAATGACTTTTCCTTTCTCTTCCTTGTAACACTCTTTTAGACACCTGAAAGTTCTTATCATGTCCCCTCTCAGTCTTCTCTTTTCCAAACTAAACAAACCCAATCCTTTCAGTCTTCCCTCATAAGTCATGTCTTCTAGACTTTGAATCATTTTTTGTTGCTCTTCTCTGGACCCTCTCCCATTTCTCCACATCTTTCCTGAAATGCGGTGCCCAGAACTGGACACAAGACTCCAGGGCTACATCTACCTTGAGCTCTCTTGTGCAAGAACATATGCAAATGAGGCACGGCATACGTAATGAGCTGCCATTTTTGCGCAAGTCTACACTGCTCTTTCTTGCGCAAAAACTCCTGCTTATTTTAAGGCAGAATGCAGGCAGTCCCCGGGTTACGTACAAGATAGGGACTGTAGGTTTGTTCTTAAGTTGAATTTGTATGTAAGTCGGAACTGGTACATATTGTAGGGGAAATTCTAGCCAAACATTTCTCCAGAGCTCAGTTTTATTCTCCCACACCTCACTTCCCTCAGTCCTTTATTCTCAAGCTGAGGTGTCTGCTGAGAAGAGCTGCTCCATGTCTCCCTGGTCTGCTGGGGAGGGGCGCTAGCTTTGCGTCTCCCTAGTCTGCTGGGGGGAAGCAGCTAGTGCGGGGTTGCCTCACCCCGTTTGTAAGTAGGGATCTGATGTAAGTCGGATCCGTGTAACCCGGGGACTGCCTGTAGCTCTTGCACAGGAGGGGGGTTTTGTGCAAGAAGGAGCAATCTACACCTTCTTGTGCAAAAGCCCCTTGCGCAAAATGGCGGCTCATTAAGTATGCAAATGAGGCATGGCGGTATTCATTGCTGCTCCTCATTTGCATATATCCTTGCACAAGAGAGCGCAATGTAGATGTAGCCTAGTTGAGATCTAATCAGCACAAGAGTACAGCAGAAGAACGCCTTCCCGTATCTTGCTCACAACAACTCCCAAATTTATTAGCATGCTCTTCACTCTGCCCACGCGTCACTCCATTTTCCAAAGCATTAGTGAAAATAGTGAATAGCACCAGGACTGAAGCCTGCAGGACCCTGCTGGAAAAGTCTTCCCTGTTTGACAGTGAATCATCTCTAACTTCTCTTTGCACCCACCTGAGAGTAATTTCATCTAGATCACATTTCCATTGTGAGACTGGCCTGGGGACCCTCAACCTGCCCTCCGGCTGTCAGAGGGACAGAAGGCCGGTTCCCTCACCCTGCTCACCTTGTCCACAAAAGCTCTCTTTAAATAGCCAGGAGCCTTCCTGATGGCTCTTTGGAAGATGGGATTCTTAGCCAATTTCAGGGCAGTAGCTGCCGTGATGTTCCTGAAGACGTCACTGGAGAGTCCTGGCACCAGTGTTCCGAGTCTCTGAAATGCCTCTTCTGTATCAAACTGTGAAGGGAGAAAAAAAAACCACAGCAAACCCGATTAGAACGCTACGGTGCAGCGTTTAGTGGCCACTTCCCCACCCCAACACCGCTGCCTAGCCCCACAGGAATTTCCTTTTCAGCTAAAAGCCAAGCCAACGGGGAAGGCACCAGTTCCACTAAGTAGTGTGCAGAGGAAGGTAAAATCAAACGCTTAACGACAAACGGGGGAAGAACTGGCTAGATGGCAGACAGGCTGAAAAGATTCCGGGGATGATGGAGGGTTGCAAGACTGCTATATATACGTCTGTCTGTCTGTTTGTTCCAGAACTCCTCCTAAACGGGAAGCGCTAGGACCACCCGGTGTGGTGGGAAGTTTCCTCTGATCAGAACCTAAAGCCAGGTCAGGGTTTGGCTGTGCCAGGACAACGGGATGTGCCTGGAATGGGATTGTGGCTCAGAAAACTGTATAGAGAAGACACAGACACCCCAGGACTGCCCCAGCCCGGACCGCCTACCCCTTTACGGCAGAGCAGGGGGCTGAAGCTCCCCGCACCCCCATTCGTAAGGGAACATTGCTGGCTGCTCCCCTTCATCAGGGAGTGAGGAGCAAGCGCACAGTTTGCTGCATTCCTCACTTTGGATGGCGTACAGGGGCAGATGAACCTGGACTGGGGACATGCACCCCTCCCCCACTGTGCCTGCTGGAGCTGCAGCAGCCGTGGAGAGGCGCTTCTCACCCGGCCCCCAGCTGCTGGAGTGAGAGGGGGCTGGGGTTGTCCTCTCTCCCCTGGGCAGCCTGCATACTGAACACCTCATCCTCTGCCCCATCCCGGAACAATGGAAAAACAACACTTATCTGAGTTAAGGACCTGAGCAATGCTGGGTATCTTCTGGTGATCTGTCAAGAGTAGGGGCCTGTCATGGCATCCCTGGCCAAGATGCCCCCTAGGTGTTGGCATGGCGTCTTCCTTCAGCCCTGTGGTGACTGAACATGAAGTAGCAGTGTAAGTTCTCTGGGATCCTCCTGAATGCATTCTGCTGCTGGTGTTTCGGCCCCCCACCTCCCTGCGGTCCCCCCCCCAGTTGGGTTGGAGCCCCAGTGCCAGCTCCCTGCTGCAGGGGTGTAGCCCTGAGCCTCACAGGCCGGAGTCAGGCAAGCCAGGGCCAGATCCGACCAGGGGCTCTGCCTGGCAGGGGGAGGAAGAAACTCCGAGTGCTGCTGCTCCCCCTCCTCCCAGCTGCTGCAGCAAAGTGCTGCCTGGAGTCTTTCCCCCTGCCACTCTGATTGGCTGTAATTGCGGCCAACAGGAGCAGCAGGGGGTGGTGCCTGGGAGCAGCAGGGGACATGGAGCCATGTGTGTCCCTGAGGAACTGTGCCAGGTGAATCTCTCAGGACGACTCTGGGAAAGAGGGGGCTGTTGGAGGCTTTTTGTTCACTGCACAAGGAGTCTGCAGCAGGCTGGAAATTTGGCTGTCCCCGTTTAGCACCGATCCATCTCGTCTGGCCCTGCCCACGCATATCTAACCGAATGCAGATAGCACATAGCCGGCTATTTACAAAAGAGGGTTTGGGTTTAAAGCAGGAGTGGGGAACCTAAGGCCTAGGGGCCATATGAGGCCCCCAGCTTGCCTGGATCTGGCCCCTGAGGTTTAGGGCTTCTCCCCAGCACTGGGTGCTCTCCAGCCCTCTGCCCCCCAGCCACCCCACAAAAGCTACTAGCGTAGGCCCCCCTAGGCTCCGGTGTGCAAGGGGAACATGGGGAGTGTCTTTCAGCTTCTCAGGTGGGGGCCACGTCATGTGTGAGAGTTTGGGGTTTTTTGTTTTTATTTATTGATTTGCTTCTCTTTTTTTGCAGCCCCCAACTGATTTTTCTGTGGGTCAGCAGCCCCCGACCCCCGAAAATGATTTAAGTGAAGCATGGACATTTTCATTTCATTTTCTAAAAATGGAGTTAAAGACCCTGATTCAAAATAACATCACCCCCACCCAGGTGGTCTTTTCTGACCCACCCAGGGAGAGGACCAATCCCTACCATGAAATTACTGCGGATTAACTTGCTCATCAGCCCTTGCGATTGTCCCCTATCCCAGCCGTCAACGCGTCCGAGCGACTGCAAGGCCAGCGGATCTGCGATAATCTGTGGTCTCAGTTCTAAAATGTGCCCGGAGGTCAGCCCCACGGCGTGCTGCCCCAAAGCAGCCAGGGTCCTCGCGTCAAAGGTAGTGACCTGGGCCACCAGCATCGTAGCAAGCTGGAAAGCAAGCGAGATGAAAATCGTAAGAGCAAGAGGCCGATCGCTAATAACGCCGGCCACCTGGAAAATGCCGCGGAACATTCACCTGGGACAAAATTCTGCTCGGGAATGTTGTTTTCTGACAATGGTGTGGAGATTGTGTTTGTGACCTTCATTCAGACTCTGTGGTTGGACCTCCCTGGTCCAGCACCCTCGGGCCTGAGAGGTCCCGAACCGGGGCGTTTGCTGGACCAGGGGATGTCAGTCTCCTCTCTGGGTTGTGGGGGTCCCTGGAGTCTGGGCTCCCTGTCCTGCTGCCATGCCAGGTCTTGGGGGGTCAGTCTCCTTGAGCTGGGACTCTCCAGTCTACACCAGCCCCACTTCTGCCAGGATTCCCAGCCGGGGTCATGGATAGCCCCCAGTTGCTGCTGGCCCCGCTGCCACTGGGGATCCTGGCCAGGGCCGGGGATTCCTCCCAGCCAGCACCGGCCCCGTTGCCACTGCACCAGAGTTCCCTGCTAGGGAAGATTCCTCCTGGCTGCCACCGGAGCTTCCTAGCTTGGGGCTCCCGGGGGCTGGAATCTCCAACCACCGCAGAACCAGCCCCTGCTGACCCACCTAGGGCTCCCCAGCTGGCTCAAACTCACCTCTGGGGTGCTCTAGTCCAGCAACATCTGTGATCCTGCTGGACCACAGATCATGCCAGACCAGAGAGTTTAGGATTTGAGAGGTTCAACCTGCATCTCCATCAAGGGATCAAACCAAACCCACAGGCATGCCTGGCGCAAAAGCCACATTTTCCTGACATTCTGGGCTGCCGGGATTTGAACTGTCAGAGAAAGGTCTGAACTTCAAGCTCCAATTCAGCACTTCCCAGAGTCCGATCCCTGACCTCTGGAGTCACGCGCTGATGGGCAGCTAAGTAACAGTCTTTAATGACTAGAGCGCTGGGTATTTACCTGGCGGTCAGTGGCAGAGGAGTCTTGGAGTTCAGATGTGTTTGAAGGACCACAGTGGAGGTTTATCCGAGCAATGATGCTCAGTGAAACATTGGCGCTGAGCAGTCGTATGGCAGTCGAATGTCTGGCGAAGCAGAGGAGCTGGTCGGGAAGGCTTTGAGTGATGTGAAATGAGAAGCGTGTTACGAGGGTGGATGAGACAGAGAGAAAATTTCCCATTGGCAATTATTTACACTGCCGGTCAACACTTCTCATTTGAAACTCTTTTTCCCATTAAAAACTGACTTTTTAAAAAAACAACCTTTTCATATAGAATCTGGTTGGTGGGGGAATAAATTTTTCAACTATTCCAATTTTTCAACTAAAAAACCCCATTTCAATCTTTTTTTAGTTTTAAGGTTTCATTTTTGTTTGTTCATTTTTTGTTTCTCCTCTTTGCCTTTTTTTACCTCCCTCCTTCCTTTTTTTTCAGGGGGATAAAAAAAGGCAAGCAACAAAATGAAAAACATGAAAAGTGAAAAAAACTGTTTTAAAAAAACCCAGAATTTTTTTGTAAATATTCACCAACATTTTAAAAAAAATGCATTTTGCATTTTTTCATGAAATTTACCAATTTTCATCCCACTTTCATATGTATATAAAGCAGGATGAAAATTGGTAAATTTATATATACAGGCAGTCCCCGGGTTACATAGATCCGACTTACATTGGATCTCTACTTACAAACGGGGTGAGGTAACCCCGCACTAGCTGCTTCCCCCCAGCAGACCAGGGAAACGTGAAGCTAGCGCCGCCCCCCCACCCCTCAGCAGGCCAGGGAGACACGGAGAGGCTTTTCTCAGCAGACACCTCAGCTTGAGAATAAAGGACTGAGGGAAGTGAGGTGTGGGAGAATAAAACTGAGCTCTGGAGAAATGTTTGGCTAGAGTTTCCCCTACAATATGTACCAGTTCCAACTTACATACAAATTCAAATTAAGAACAAACCTACAGTCCCTATCTTGTATGTAACCTGGGGACTGCCTGTATATAAACGAGACTGTGTGTGAATTTAAATAAATAGCTGCCCTTCTACAAACGTTTGCAAAGTACACAGAAGCAAACAGGCCATCCTAATTCCTTTCCTGCAAATGTGCTTTGTTTTTTGCCCTAATACATATTTCTTACTCACTTGACAAGACTGAAGTTTGAATTCTTGGCAAACAGCGCTGTGGCATAGAGCTCCGCGAGGTCCTTCTGGATGCGTGTGTCGTTGATGAGTCTCAGATTGTCGGGGTGTATGGCTAGATCCTGGAGCTAGGAAAGGACGAACAGGTTGCGTCAGTCCATGCTCAGCTTGATTTTCAGAGAAGCAGAATATTTTCTGCCTCTGTAGACTTCAACACGGATTGACAGCGCTCAGCAACTCTGAGATGAAGCCAGTAGCTTTTTGAATGCCCACCAGTGAGCGGTCTAAACGCAGAAGCTCTGAGCACCGGCCATGCTGAGGTATGCTACCCAGAATGCTTCATAGGAAGCTGGTGTATCCACTTGGAGAGGGAGAAGTAAGGAATGGCGGATTTTTAGCAGCAAAGATCTTTTGCCTTTTGCACCCAGGATCCTGAATAGCTAAATCGCACATTCGCATGATTCCAGAGACGGATTCAGGACAGATACAGTCTCACTAAGGTGTTTTCATGGCAAATAGGACAGAGGTCCCATGTGTGCAAGTCTGGCTAGGATGCGGAGTTTATTTTCCAGGCCCGCTATGCTCTGTGGATGTGCCTGTCCTTGACCCATTTCATCCTCCACGCCCCAGGGAATTTGTATCCCGGAAGGATCTGTCTCCCTGCACCTTACCTACTAAATCAGAGAATTTACCCCACAACTCTCATAGACTTACTCCTATGGGGCAGTGGATTCTGCCCCTGCTCACAGGTTCTGCTGTTGTCTGGTGCCCAGTTGGGGATGGCAGAAGGAGCTTGGTAGCTACCTTGACCATGCCACCTAAGGGACCTTGTGAGCCTCTTCTTAAAGGAACCTCTCCCACATGCACTGAATTCAATGGGAGTTTTGCTCGTAACTGCCGTGGCAGCCGGATCCGGGCACCGAATCTCACGCTGTGGTTATTTCCAGGCTGGCTTGGCATGGCAGGCAGGTATCACACTGATACTTACAAGGGTCACGTTGTGGTTGAGGAAGGATCTCACATCGGCGGCACTGCTGTGGCGGAGGGAACGCCCCAGGTAAGCAGCGAGCCAGTTTGCGGCACGCGGGTCGCTGGCGTTGTAACATCTGGGCCTGGCACTCGTAGCTGTATAACGATGGACGGTTTAATCACACACCAGGCAACGTAGATAGTGAGGAAGTTCTATAGCAAGGGCTGCCCCCTGGTGATTTAAAAAGGCCTGGGGTTCTGGATCACTGTTACCATGGCAACAGAAGTAGCTGGGCCCCGGGCCTTTTACATCTCCTCTAGAGCCTTACGGTCCAGGTGATGCTGAAGGCTGGGTGGGGCAGGCAGGGATGCCATTTGGGGCGCTGAGGGCTGCCTGCCTCTAGCCACGCCCCTTCCATCCGGGGCCCCATCTCGCCCAAGGAGTCTGGAGCCAAGCTCCCTCCCCACATTGGCCAGGGCCCAGTGAAGTCTGTTGCCAGCCCCATCTATCTCTCTAGATATCTGTGCTGTCTTGATGGTTGGAAGCTAAAATTTCTTGCAGCTCTTTATTGAGATGTCAGATTGCAAACTCATACTCAGCCCAGACCTGACCTCTGAACTTTACGCGCAACCAGATCCGGGTCGAGTTCAGACATTATCCTCTCAATGTTCTTCTCGTGCCATTGGGCGCCATATTGTCAGAAGAGAACACAGACCCTCTGCTCCTAGGCCGGACGTTGCGACTCACCTGTGAGATAGGCTTTGGTGAAATCGTAGATGTCTTGCTGGCTGACATTGAAAGCTGTAATGTTACTGCTCAGTTTGCCCACACTGCATGGAGAAACAGAAAGAACGGTTAGACAGCAAAAGCAAATGCATGCTAGACAGGAGGACAGGAGTAGCTATGCAGCTAAGCAACAAGATGGCTTCCTCATATAGACAAGGAAGCGGGTACTGGCAACAAAGATGGGACAAGGAAAATTTAAGAAATATTCTGTGACACTGAATATTTTGTAACAATGAATAGTCCTCAGGCACCTTAGAGACTAACAAAAATATATATATTATCATGAGCTTTCGTGGGCAAAACCCACTTCCTCAGATGAGCTGGAGAGGAATAACAGAAACCCGGAATTTATATCAGAAAAAGAAAGAGGGGGAAGTGTGTGTGGGGGGAAAGTATCTGTCAATTGTAGGACCAGTGCTAATTAGGCTAATTAAGTGGGGGTGGAAGTGTCCTATAGTTCCCATGACTATTTTGTGTTCCAGACACATAAATGTCAAGAAACTTGCTCTGATAAGGATCAGAATTGCCTGTGAAGTAAAGACTAGCCCCGCGGAAGGCATGGCGTCGGAATGGCTTACATCTGGCGGAAGGCTGTGCAGCTGGCGTTCAGAGTACCGCTGAAGTTCAGTAGGCTGCCTTGGATTAAACTGAAGTATGGCGACAGACGTGGCCCGAGCCACGTGCTCACCACGGTCTCATTGTCGCTCCTCAACACCACAGGCCACACGCCAGTCAGAATGGCCACCCTGGTGCCACTGGGGAGGATGTTCTAGAGGGAAGGCAACAGAAAATGGCAGGTTCTCCAGCTAACATACACCAGTTCCAGAGATTTCTGCTGAAGAAAGGGTGAAGTTCCACCTTCCACCCAAACCCACAGAGCAAGTCTCACAAGGCTTTAAAGAAGGCCTTGTTTAGCCTGTTTCATTAAAATCAAGGGTTGTACTGATGTACATTTCATACCCGCATCACCCTCTTTTTGGAGACTCTGGCTTGTTCTGGCAGTGGGGGGCGAGGAAGGAAGATAGAATGTACTAATATGTATTTCCTGTTTCTAATTTCTGGATTCTACCGCACTTTACTGTCGATCTAGGTTCGTGTAGTTACACCCATCACTGTGATATCTGAGCACCTGAGAGCAAATGGCCTGTTGAGACCAGCTAATGCTTTTGGATAACAGAGATGTAGGCCTCAATCCTGCCATTGGAGCACAGGGATGAAAAAGTTTAACTGGTTAACGGGTTAACCAATAGGTATGAGGTTATCTGTTCCTGTTAACGGTTAAACTCCCATGGGGCAGGCGGCACCAGGAGCCCGTGAGGCCAGCAGCCCACAAGACCAGTGGCACCAGCAGCCACTGGGTTAAGCAGTCCACGAGGCTGGTGTCACTGGCAACCCACAGGGTCATTTAACCGTGTAACCAATGGAATTTTAATCAGTTACACAGTTACTATTTTTAACCCTTTTTATATCCTTGCCTGCAGATGAGCACTATTGCTCTAACTTCCTTGGGAAAGTGTCTCTATTGTCTAAGACTACTCTAAAAGGAAAGGTTGAATCAAGATACACAACTTCAGCTATGTTAATTACGTAGCTGGAGTCGACGTACTTCATTTTGAGTTTCCCTGCTCCCATCAGCTTCCCTCATGCTTTGCAGAATCAGGGTTACCAGACATCAATGGGAGAGCCCTCTGAGTTTGATTTAGCAGGTCTTAACTAGATCCACTAAATCAAATTCCAAAAGATCAATCTTGGTAGCGTTGATCTTCCATTTAGTGAAGACATGGCCTAACTGGTCTTGCTGCAGTAAATAATTTTGGAATCAATAGGTGAACGTATGGTTGAGTAGCTATGTCTCAGAAGAAAGTGTTTCTCTGACAGTGATACTTTTAATTACACTAAAAGTGGAAGGAAAGTCCAGTGGTTAGGGCATTAGCTCAGGACATGGGAGGCTTGAGTGGGTTCAACCCCCTGATCTGCCACAGATTGCCTTGGGCATGTCACTTAGCCTCCTCCATGCCTCAGTTTCCCATCTGCAAAATGGGAATAATACTCCCCCACCTCACAAGGGCTTTCTGAGGATACAGATTGTAAAGTCCTTTGAGAACCACCGATGACAAGTGCTGTACAAGAGCTCAGTATATACATTTGCACAGCCCAGGTTACTAATGTACCTAAATTATAAAGCAGATTAGGATCTGATCCTGCAAGCCCTTGCTTCATGACCTTGCAGAAGGCTCATAGTCCCTGGGGTGGGATCTTTCAATATCAATTTTCTGAGTATTTGTATTACATCTATTTTTGTTCTACTCTCTGTTAGAATATTCATATTGCACCTTGAAAGATATTAATAGAACTCTTGGTCCCATAGTCATTCTTAGCTGTTATGTAATTTGTTCTCCCTCTTTTTTGTTTTGTTCCATCCTACATTATATAACCCAGCAAAATGCTGTCAACTTCCAGGAACACTCTGCAATTTCTAATAGACCCCCACAGCGAAAATTTTCCTGATTTTTGGTGACGTGCACTGTCGGGACACATTTGGAACTCTCTGAATTCTATTTCTTTGGACACCGCTTAATTCAGCTCTCTGGTGGCGCGTTTCCGTGCAAACCCCTTTACAATCTGGATGTTCATTTGGACCTTTGGAAAGTGAAAAGCAAACCTCTGACCTACCACAATGCTCTTCATGTTAAATGACTCAAGGAAGGCCCCTTTCTTGTTATAGTTCTTCAGAAGAATGGTCAGGAAGTTGTCGTCATTGAGAAAGTCAGAGCTGGATAACAAATCAGCCAGTGCAGCTGGGGCCACTGTATTCACAATCTGGGATGAAGAAAGAAGGGTTAGGATGGAGAAGGCCGACGGTCACAGCTCTTGGACAAAAGGAACTGGTGGCTGTAAAGTGGCTGTAAAGTCAGTTAGAAACTTTCACAAGAGTTCATTGCACTTAGAATCCTAGAACACTAGGACTGGAAGGGACCTCGAGAGGTCATCGAGTCCAGTCCCCTGCCCTCACGGCAGGACCAAGCATCACCTAGATCATCCCTGATAGATATTTATCTAACCTGCTCTTAAATATCTCCCATGATGGAGATTCCACAACCTTTCTACGCAACTTAGAAGTTTTTCCTAATGTCCAACCTAAACCTCCCTTGCTGCAATTTAGGCCCATTGCTTCTTGTCCTATTGTCAGAGATCAAGGAGAACAATTTTTCTCCTTCCTTCTCATAACAGTCTTTCAGGTATTTGAAAGCGGCTATCATGTCTCCTCTCAGTCTTCCCTTTCATAACTAAACAAGCCAAATTCTTTCAGTAGATTTAGCCTAATTTCTTACTCCTACGGCTATGGTAACAATTGATGCTGATAACGATGACCCTTCAGCAGTGCAAGATCCTGAAGTGCCTTCTGAATCTAAGAAAGATTAAATTATGTTAAGTGTAATTTTAGTGTTACGTGTATTTTTAGTGATCTGGGTGTATGTCATGTACTACCCATAGTGATATGTAGTATCATAAGATAATCCTCTCCCTCGCCCCCCCCTATATATATATACACACACACACACACACACACACACACACACGTTTCAAGAAACCAACCACTCTGCAAAGCAGTACAACTACTGGATTAGGGAGTTCCTGTATATTTGATTCTTTTTGTTGTATTCAATTCTTTGAAAATTGGTATTCCATCGATGAAGTACAACTCTCCATTACCCAGAATATTCAATTAACTGCCCACTCCCATGCTTCCAATATGCCAGGTAGCAGAGCTTTAACTATACTTTGGAATAGTGATCAAATGCACAATAACCCTGAACTTGGGATTTGCTGGATCTTATCACTGGCCCTAAAAGAGATCAGTATGGGTATGTCTACACTAGCCCTCAAGTTCAAATTACGGAAGCTAATGAGGATGACTGAAATTGCAAATGAAGTGCGGGGTTTAAATATTAGCATATTAAGCATTAGCATGTTTCTGGGCGGTCGCCATTTTGGGAATTGACTAGCCCGGAAGAACTGCCCACATCTACACACGGCAGAGAAGGGCGATTCTGAAATAAACCCCTTACTTCGAATTACCAGTTAAACCTCATTCCATGCTGGCTTTCCACTGAGGTTCCATTCCATGAGGTTTAACTAGTTCGAACTAGGGGACTAGTGTAGACATACCCATGGAGGAACATGAGGGTCTTATTCTAACCCTAAGGGGAAAATAATATTCCCCCAATGCCATTTTGCTACCTGTGATTCTTGCCAACAAATAATAAGGTCATCCTGTAGAAGGTACTGTGGAATAACTATTACGATCTCAAGTATTTCCAAATAAAATCGGTCCTCTTTCTAAGTCTGACTCTCAGGCTGTGTCTACACTGCAAGGTTTTTGCGCAAGAAGCTTTTTGCAGAAGAAATCTTAGAGAGACTCTTTAAAGCATGAAAGACAAAGTTCTGGGACTGTGCTCCACAGTGATGTTTTGTTGTTGACTTTTTTTTTTTTTGGCAGTATGCATGGTCAGTTCCCTGTAAGGGAAGACTTTTTTTCTTTTCTTTTTTTAAATTCAAAGCACTTTGGGCTGAGAAGGCAACTGGAAAATG